CTACTCGGCCGCCGGAGTGTGGAGCGTTGGTGGCGGCTTCTTACATTACCATCAACAGAACGCGTGCGGTTCAAAACAAAATAGAACGTCCAGGCTGTGTTGCTGTTGTTGTTGTCTTCACATTCAAAACCGTTTCGTTCTCTCTGTCGGTACTAGTCTAACACTTGACGGGGTCTTTTCCCGTGGTCACAGGCTAACTTACCCAGAAAAGGTATACAAAAAATAAAATGGACCCTAAGGGTCCGCGAGCCTGTGTGCTCGTGGAAATACGAACCCTACGGAACAAAGAAAAGGTCACGCATCATAGATCATACGACATACATTGTATACATGCTGTAAAGCTGAGTGTCGGTGTATTTCATGCATTGACGTCCCCTCTCAGCGGCTGTGGTATCCAGTAGTGTTGTCAAGCCCAGGTTTGTCACACCATCGAGCTTTCGTCAGGATTCATTGAAAGGGACGCCACCAAAGGCATGTGTGGAGCTATGACAGAGGGTGTATTCGTGCATCTGTGTTGCTTATTTTCTGGAGTCTTGTGCCTGGATTCTGACACGATTTCTGCTGATCTCGGGGCATGCCATCGTGACATTGGGATATGCAGCGTGCAGTGGTGAAGCTGGTCTTGGAATATGTACTTTGTTGTCGTCAGCTCTTTTGATCAGTTTTCACTGCCTGCCATGGATGCGGGCGAGAGAGCACGCACGCGGGGATGACCTTTCGGGAAGCACATGATACGTTTAGAGTTGGCGTTCGCGTACGTCGCGTGTCGCTCTCCCAGGGACGCTTTTCATCTCACTGCAGACACACACTCCTCTGTCCTGTGGTCAGAGCCGGTTGTAGTGCGATCGATTTTTATGACACGCACCTGTGTTTCGACTGCACACGCACATACATATTTATGCAGAAGAAGCCGCTGTCATCTCCGTCTGCCACAGTATGTCTCTCATATATGCATCCAGACACCCCCACAAAGCGATACCGCCCTGGCGGTGGTATTGTGTGGATTGTCCCCTTCAATTATCTCAATTGCACTACGCATTTTGTGTGTTGTGTATTTAGCCGTAGTATTATATTGTGCCGGAATCTCTGTGTCAGTGCTGTGTGCGCCAACCGTCTCATAGATGTGATTGGGCTCGCCCAAAAACCACCTGACACCATGTCATCCTGCCCGAAACCTTTCGACCGTGTAACCCTCAACGCAGATTTTGCACTGACGCCTGCTACGTCGCGAGTGAAGGAGAAGGGCAGGACGTCACTCAGTGGTATGCGGTGCGCTATCCTGGNAATAACAAAACCGAGAGATTGTTGATCTGCGTTGGTGGAAGCGTTGCCCGCGATATTTTTAATCGATGGGCTGCAACCCGCACGCCTGTGCTTATGCCTTTGGCGCCTATGTGTAGTGCGCCAGACGTACAGTTCCTGTATCTCATGTGCCTCCTTCGCTACGGTCCGTCAATAGTATTTCAGCGTTCCGAGTCAAGTCGAAAGTTAATTGCATGATGACACTGTTCCATAGCAGAATTTTACTTGATGTCCCATTTTTCAATAATCGATGTCATTTTTGTTTGTTGCCATGCGCCGTCCGTACGAAACGCTGAACTGTTCCGTCGACGTCCCTGTAGATACTCAAGCAGCACGCCAGAACCACGTGGTCAATGATAGTCGACGTAGGACACACCAGGCTGGCTCTAACTTTGAGCGAAGTATACGGCGGTGACGTCTTCACCGAGGACCTCGCATATGAGGTAGCGTTCGCGAGTCATGCCATCTATTTCGGGTTGAAACGATAGACCGCCGTTTGTTCACCATCCCTAAAGAGTGCCGACCAGAAATTCATTGGCCATTGGATCGTAGTTATGTGTGTTTCTGAACTCCACTTGCTGTACTGTGTGAAGAACCCTTGTTGCTGAAAGTACATAAATATGTATGCCTACAAATTGGCTGGTTGCTCGATCCGAGGATGGATGCTAGTTTTTAGTGCGATTGATCGATACTGTACGCCTTTATTATGCAGAAGGATTGACGACGATGACATCGAGAAGAAGCGTTTCACGGATCGTCCATAGACCCTCGTCCCTATAGCACCTCACCATACTGCTGTATGTCCGATGCTTGTGTTCTTCCCCC